TCTCCTCAGTTACTATTCCTCAGCGATGCAGTTTATCTCCATGGAAGCAACCAATGTTACTGGTTTTGTGTATACCTTCTAGAGCATGTATTTTTTTAAAATATGAAAGTAGCAAAATCAAATCATACAAAATCTGGAAAAATCATACTGTTTTACCAATCTCTCTGCGCCACAGCTATGTTTTAGTTTATTTCCACAGGTTTTTTTCTATGCATTTTTCCATGGTTATAATCATGGAACATATGACCTTTTTTCTCTCTTTAAAAACTTAAAAATAATTTAATATGCGTTTGACACATATAAAAGATTATCTGTAGCATGTATGTAAGTTACTGAGTATAATAATAAAATGAACATCTGTGAATCCACCACCAAACCGAGAATGAAAACATCACTAAGCTGCTTCATCCTAAGCCTGTGTTCCTTTCCTGTCTCATTGCCCTGTGAACTCCTCAGGTGACCACTCTTGTGATTTTGGGGTCTACTAAGTCCCTTGAAAATGAAAAACAAAAGTTCCTTAACAATAGCTTTTGTCTTGTTTGTGATCTGTATGAAAATGATATTACACTGTATTTAATATTCTGTGACATGCTTTTTTTTTTAACTTAGTGTATTAATAAGATTCATTCATGTTGTTACATTTGATAGCATTTAACTTATTTTCACTGTTGCATTTCATTGTGTGTATAACACAGATGACGTATTCATTTTCCTATTGACTGTAGGAAAATTGGGTTGTTTACAGTGTTTTGCTCTTGTGAACTCTTTCTCCTGGTGCACATTTGTCAGAGTTTTTCGGAGCTACCTGGGAGTGGAATTACTGGGCCGCAGGGCGTGCACATATTTATCTTTATGAGATGATGCCAGATTTTTTTCCCAAAACAACCGTCTTGATTATATTCTCCCATCAGCAATGTATAAGAATTTCTTTTAACTCGTATCCTTGCCAACACTTGTATTGTCAGACTTTTTATTTTGGGCCAATTATTAGGTATAAAATGGCATTACATTTATGACCTATATATGCTTTTTAAAAAATTTTTAAATTGAGGAATAGCATATAGTGTATACAGTAAAATATGTAAAGCATGATAATGTTATGCATATACTTGGGAATCCAGCTTTTTTTCTTAGCCCTTTTTAGAATCTTTTTCCATCTTGCTTTGCATTTTTCAGAGCCATCCTATGCACTATGTAATCTATGAAGTTAGATTTATTTAACCATTTTCCTGTTTTTTAACTTTAAAAACAGGAAATTTTAATTGTTTCCAGTTTTTCATTCTTATGACTAATGCTTCCGTGAATTTCTTCACAGAAGTGAAGTTTTTTTTCACTTTTTGATTGTATTTGTATTAATAAGATTGATTCCTGTAAGTGATATTGTTTGATCAAAGCTATGAATGTTTTTGTGACTGTGGGTGCAACTCTGCTAAAAGTTAGAATTGTTATGTACATTTAAAGCAATTATTTTTGCATATGTGGTTTAAACAGTGGTAAGTTTTATTGTGAATCATTTGGGTTAGGAGATGAGATACTTATGCATTGTTGGGTAAATGGGTTTAACTTCCTGGGTTATGCAGAGTTTAAAGATAAATCTAAGTTTTGCTTTATCAAATTATATAAGACAAGTAGGAGGTTAAAGGAATGTCTTTCTATTTGAACATTGTTAAATATGTGGGCTTTGAAGAAAAGCTGATCTTCTCAAGAATCTTTAATCCTAGCTGTTTGACTTACTTAGATTTATAGAGAGAGCTAAAGACCTACTTTTATTTGCCGATAAGATTAAGAGGCTATTTTGTTTGAAATTTAAATTCCTTTCTCCGAATATTGTATTGGTGACAGGTGTATTTGACCTGTAGCTGGATTTTTTTCTTTTAAATTTTTCACCATGGGATACAGATTCCATAGCTGGACTTTTATTCCTACATTTTCTTATGTCTGTAAATAATGATCCAGTGGGACTTTAAATTCCTTTTTAATCTTGATGTTTGAAATTATATTAATATCAATTGGGTCAGATTTGATTTGGCCAAATATAAATTATTTCCTTTATATTTTACCCCAGAAGTATGTTGTAGTTTTGTCGTCCACTTTACATGAGTATTATTACATTTGTTAAACTTCTTTATTCACTAGGCAACTGATATTTGTTGCAAAGTAATATTGAAATGTAGAAATCTTGGGACAAAAATTTGGAGTTTAGGTTTTGCCACCATAAGCTATGTGACCCGCGGACAGTTATTTTTCTTACTGTTCCTCTGTTGACTCAGTTATAGTGCGAACATCGGGATAGCAAAAATAAGTATGCTGTATACTTGCTGGTAATTATTTATATTAATGATGCTTTGGAGTTTTCAAAGTGCTTTCACATATATTATCTTGTTTGATCCTTACAACAATCTTGTTTGTTCATTTCTTCAATTATTTATGAATGATGGCTGTGTCATGCAATTTGCCAGGTGCCTGGAACATAGTAGAAAACAGTAAAGACAAGGTCATGCCCTCATGGAGTTTATATTTTAGTGGGAGGATATAAACCAGAAGAGAATAAGATAATTAGTTGTGATGATACCTAATGA